ACTTTTAAATAACTGCTTGTTTCCCTTATTTTAACATGTTGGGCAGTATTCTGTGGTATCTATATACTGGAAACATAATATAAAAGCAATGTTTCATCTCAGGAAGTAGGAATTAGGACTATTACTAATGAATGAAACCTACCAATTAAATATTTGTTAGATTTTTTAAACGATCCTTCCGCATGTGTGCTCACACACATGCACAGGGACCGAACCTGCATGACCTGACCAGAAATCAAACCCCCAAGCTTTGGGTGTATGGGATGACGTCAGCTCCAACCAATTGACCCACCCAGCCAGGGCTGAAAATTTTTTTTAATATTATTTGCTCTGATGTCTTAAACTTTTAAAGTCTTCAACATAAGAAAATAGTTGCACACATCCTATATAATAAAAGCCTAATAAATTGTCTCCTCAGGCTGTCGTTTGACCACTTGCTATGACATGCACTGATCACAAGGGGGCAATGCGGAACGTGGTGGGAGCCCCCACCCTCAGGAACCGAGTGTCTGCAAGGAGCCCACCCCGCACCAGCACCTGCAAGGCTTCTTCCAGGTGAGCTGGACCACAGCTGCCAGGACCACAGGGGCGTGTCAGGCTCCCCATGGCTTTGTGCAGGAGCCAGTCTGCTAGGCCAGCTGGGAGAGAGCACGCTGCCTGCCCGGCTTCTGTGAGGTGCTGATGGGCGGCCCAGAGGCCCACGCTGTGTCCCGGCCCGCAGCATCTCGCCGCACTCACCACATTTCTGCGTGGGGACTCGGGCACCGTGACTCAGGTGAAGGGGGGCGTGTGGGGGCCCGGGGGCCCAGGTGCTGTCCAGAGCCCAGAGGGCAGCTGGGACCTTCCCTTACACACCAGACGCTCGTGCTTTAATCACTGGCCAGGCCTAGGGACTGCACCCGTACACGAATCTTGTGCACCGGGCCTCTAGTTTATCTAATAAAACACAATTCAAAAAGTAATAATTGGTCTTTGTCATTTCTAGTAATAAATCCTGTCTTTTTTTAATCATAGTATAAGTTATACTTATGCAATATACAGGATTGCATTAACACCTAGTAGTTCTTAAACAATATTATCTAATAACCACATAAATCTCTCAAATGCAGCAAAAGTTAACAATATTTTTTTCTCCTTTAACACATTTTATGTCACTTTTTTAAAAAAGATATTTGATATTTTGCAGAGAGGAAAGGAAACAGAGAGTCAGAAACATCTATTGGGAGAGAAACATTGATGAGCTGCCTCCTGCATGCTCCCAATTGGGGGTCGAGCCTGCAACCAAGGTACATGCCTTTGACCAGAATCGAACCCGGGACTCTTCAGTCCGAGGCCTGATGCTCTATCCACTGAGCCAAACCAGTCAGGGCTTATGTCACTTCTTAAAGACTTTTTAAAGAGAAGTTTTAGGTTCACCACAAAATTAAGAGGAAGGTACAGAGATTTCCCTAAGACCTCCTGACCCCACACAGGCATAGCCTTCCCCATGATCATCATCACTCATCTGCTACAACTGGTGAACCTGCATTCACATATTACATTTACCCAAATTTCACAGTTTGCATTAGGGTTCACTCTTGCTATTTTATATTCTATGGGTTTGGACAAATGTATGACATAGCCATCATTATAGCACCATACAGGCTATTTTCACTGCCCTAAAAATTCTCTTTGTTCTACTTCAATTACAATACTCTTTTTACTCACTCAAATACATACTGTTCAATAAGCACTTAAGAGTAACAAAATGTATTTCTTACAAACATTTAAAAAAAATTTTACTATATATTTTGTAATGCTCACTAACATCAGCGTGACAGAGAAACATCGATTGGTTGCCTCCCACACCCACCAAAAATGGGGGCAGGGATTGGACCTGCAACCCAGGTATGTGCCTTTGACCTGGAATCAAACCCACAACTCTGGTGCAGAAGCTGATGCTCTAACCACTTAGCGACACCGACCACGTCTCTTACATACATTTTTTTAAAAAAATATATTTTATTGATTTTCCACAGAGAGGAAGGGAGAGGAATAAAGAGTCAGAGACATCAATGAGAGAGAAACATCGACCAGCTGCCTCCTGCACCCCCGCACTGGGGATGTGCCCACAACCAAGGTACATGCCCTTGACTGGAATTGAACCTGGGTTCTTTCAGTCCGCAGGCCGACGCTCTATCCACTGAACCAAACCGGTCAGGACTCTTACATACATGTTTAACAACAATTGAAAAATGAAAATTTTAAATGTCATAAAATTAGAGTCAAAACACACAAAATTACTGTCAAATTTTTATAAAAGTTCTGATTTCTTACTCTTAATTTCTGATCTTTAATAAATAGTTCACTGATGGGCACTGATATGCAGATTTAGAGTAGCACTATCGAATACAGAATAGGAATTGTTATTTTCACTCTTCTGTTGAAAAAAACTGAGGCTCAATAACTAAAGTAACTTACTTGAATTAATTCTGATAATCAATGGCAAGACCAAGTTTACCCAGAATTGATGACCAATTCTGAAGTTTCAAATAGATATGATACATATAAAGGGTTCTTTGGTTGCCCGATTCTTCTAGGTCTCTTTCAAGCCCTCACGCACCAGTTTCCTAGTTTTATCTTCCTCGCTCTTTTCCTCTCTCCTTCCTTCGCAGCTCAGCATGCAGAAAAAAGACGTCTCCCCACAGGTTTCCTGCGTAGCATCCAACATTTTGCCATGCAGGAACCAGAGCAATGGACCTCTGAGGCTGTAGCGACCCCCATCTCCAATTATAAGATCCACCACATTGGATCTTCAGTATCAATATTATCATAAGTTTTATTGGCCTCAAGTAAAGTTATTTTGCCTATAGTTTCAGTATTACACCATATTTCTGTAGCACTTAATGTAAAGTTGGTGTCATTACAATAGAAGCCAGTATAACAAAATAATTTTCTAAATCTCCCCAACAAAAATGTCCTTTTCCCATATACTATATATTGTTATTCATTGGGGTAGAGCTGACAGGCCCAAAGTGGGTCAATTCAAAATTCCACCTAGATTGAGGACATAACCATTCATCTCTCCAATTTTCATAATCAGATAATGAGATGGTTTCCCATTTTCAGTTAGTGTTATGATAATCGCTTTGTAGTTTACATGCTAGCTTACATGAAAAAGCAGCACATACACCCCCCCCAAATAGCATTTACTATATTTAAAGTATGTTTTATTCATTCAAAAAGTTTTTTGCTAAGTAACTTGCTTAATTGCAATTTTTAAATTAGGATTTTGGCATTATTAATGTTGAGAAGGTAATATATGCCCATGGTATAAGACTTGAACACGAAAGCAAATAAAACATAAACAAAATTACTCTTCTACTGTAGGTTCATGGTCTCTACCACCACAGGAATTTTTATGCACATTAATCCATATATATCTGTCTGAAATGAATGCAACATGGTACTGCATATATTCTCAAAAAAGTGGATGAATAACATATACATTGCTTCCACATTGCTTTGAAGTCTCAGAAATTAGAGATCACAACATACTAGCTCATATAAATCTCTTCCTGCTTCTTAGTCATTCTGCAGAATGACTGACCTGTCTCCTATAGATGGATATACTTGAGCTATTTTCCATTCTTTTGCTATAAAAAAAGGCAAAAATAGGTATAAAGAACATCCTCGCTCATCTTTACTTACATGTAGGAATACATCTGAAGGATAAATTCCTCCAAGTAAAATTGCTGAGTCCTAGAAATCCTTGATACATAATATTAAGCTACCACCTAATAAAGGTTCCTCAATTTATGAGAGTAAAACAGGCTTAATGTAGAGCATTTATATTGGTGCCATATTTTAAAGAATCCTTGATTACAATAACATTAAATAAGACATCTATATTTATGCAACTCAGAGCTTGTCCACAAATATTAGGAGGTAAACTAATTAGGACTGTGTTAGACCTTCCTGGTACCTAAGCATCATATCAGATAAACACGCCCATGTACAGTTAGTTAGTTATACATAACTCTTGAGATAAGTTGAGAGCTGTTTATTTTGGATTCTCCTCTTTCTTAATTGGCTTAATAAAGTTCCAAATCTGTAGCTAAGACTTTGCAGGAACAGAAATATTCCTAAATTCCCTAGTCCTAGAAAATAGTCACAGTGGTCAATAGGACAGGTCTGTATTGTTTAGGGAACAAGAAGATTTTTGTTGTTTGTTTTAAAAGAGTGATCCTTGTGAGAGAGTAGGTCTCTAGGTGCGGGGTGAGCGGTAAACAATGCCATGGGACTGTTCCCTTTTCCTACAAGAACGTTGCTATCAATTATGGGACAACGAAAGCATTTTTTGGTAAGGATTTGAGGCTCCAATAAGTTGTTTAAAATCAAACTATCTTTTTTTCACCCGGAAGAGTTTTTCTGGGTACTTCAAAGAAGATAATGATGCTTGAAAAAAGCTCACGTTTGAATAGCTGTTACGAGGCTGCCAGAGCTCTGCTTGGAGACCCTCACTACAATAGCTTGCTGGAAAAATATGACCTTCACTTCTGTTTCAATCATGGCAAGCACCGGGTCATTCGGATAATGAGAATCCAAGCTGCACACCTGGCAGCTTGGACCAGGTTTTTTGTAAGGAATCTCCACTTTGCCGCTTGCGTCCGTCAGCACCACCCTCAGGACAAAGGGTGCTGGGGGCGGGGGAGGTGCGGAAGGTCGAGGGCAAAGGGCTGCAGTGAAAGGAGGCTATTTATGTGGCCTGTTTACAGGTTACTGAGTTTCAACACCAAACCAGTCTTTTTCCAAGTCTCCCGCGAGCTTCTGGCCCGAGGTCACAAAAACCGCCCCGGTATCTCGCAGGAACTAGCAAGGCAGCTTCCTCCCGAGCCCGAACTCGGGAATTTCGCCCGCGGGGACAAGCACCACGTGGAAACACGGACTCTGCAAACCGGGAAGGCCGGGCCCGGCGACGCTCCAGGCAACGCCTCCACTGCCAACCAATGAGGAGCGGGGACCGCGTCGGGGTTTTCGCTCATTGGGTGGCGCTGGCTCCGCCCCTCGGGCAGTGCCAACCCTCCCCGGCCACTTAAGTCTCCGCCGCAGAGTCGCCGAGTCCGGCTTTTGTGTGCGGGCTGCGGGTCACTGGCTTCCTATTGGCTCCCTTTGGCCTGGTTCTTCTGGGTCTCTTTCCAGCCCGCACGCACCCGTTTCCTAGTTTCATCTTCCTCGCCCTTTTCCTCTCTCCTTCCTTCGCAGCTCATCATGCAGAAAAAAGACGTCTCCCCATACGGTTTCCTGCCAAACTTCCAGCATTTCGCCACGCAGGCCATCCATGTGGGCCAGGAACCAGAGCAATGGAGCTCTCGGGCTGTAGTGGTCCCCATCTCCATGTCCACCACGTTCAAGCAGGGGGCTCCCGGCAAGCACTCGGTGAGCTGGGTCTGGCTGGGGCGGTCCAGGGTTGGGCGGGAAAAGAGAGATGGCTGACAAGTTTAAAAGGCACCCAAGTAATTTATAAAATGACTTATACCTCAGGAAGGCAGCCGGGGCGGATGTTTGCTACACCGGTAATCCTCCTTGCAATCAAGGTTTGTATGGGATGGTCCAGTGATCATATTTCTTTTGATAAGCAGGACTAGAAGGAACAGTGTGTCCAACTTGCCACCTAGAGTTGGCCTTAAATCCGTGTGATTCTGGTAAATGTGCAGTTCGAAACTGAGGATCATAACTTCCTTGAATTACTTGTAGCAGCAACAATTATAAAAATATAATGAGTCGGCTAAAAAAAAATTTAAGGGTTTTATAACTCAGAATCAAGATCATTTGCAGTATGTGTATTCATTGTTAATAGTTATTGAGTACTTACTATGTGCTAGATACATAACTACATGCGTTATATCATGTGTATTACATGTAGTGTCTCAGATAATTCTGACAACAGCCGTAGTCTGAACCAAGTTCTCATTTTTCTCATGAAAAAAACCCCCCAAAACCCTGAGATTTAGGGACAAATAACTAGTCCAAGGCCACAGGGCTAATAAGTTGAGGAGCTGGAATTCCAGCTGTGTTCCGGAACCACACTTTTAGGCATTCACTGGCATTGTGCTCTACTCCAATAATGCTAGCAATAATGTAACTCATTGCATCATGTAAGCAGTGTGGTTTAGTGATTAAAAGCATAGATCATGTAGTCAGAGGACCTAGGTTTGGGCTCTGACACCACCTCTTCTGATCTGGGTGACCTTGAGCAAAGTTACTTAACCTATTCCAGCCTCGGGTTGATTCTGTGTAAATGGGTTAATAATAGTACCTACCACATAAGTTGTTGATATGTAGGCTAAGCTGTATGGTACATTATAATTGCTCAGTAATTTGGTATTTAATGGTGCTCACTTTTTTCATTGGATCCTCAAAACAACCAGATCCGGGGGCAGGACAGATATTATGCACTTTTTAGAGACAAGGAACTGACCCAGAGTCACTGATAAATGACATGTAAGGTTTGTGAGAGTGCCCTCTTTGTTAACCACGTAGCCTTTTCCCTTTTGGTAGAATACTCGATGGATCTTGGAGTACCTAAAAGTGTCTGAGGCTCAGAAAAAAGTTAGTTAATAAATGAACTTTGTAGGTCCTAAACCTTGATTAAACTTCAAAAACCTCTTTGCTGTGTTCTGCTATAGTAAGTTGGAGAAAATCCTTTTAGATTTAACCCATTGTTTTGTCAGGTAGAATTCTAAGGACATTTCTACAGTTGGTTTAGGATACTTCCAGCTACTGTATTTTGGAATCAGTGTGTGTACACACAGCCTGTCTTCCAGCATATGGTTTGTGCCTGATGCAGAGTTTCGTGAACGTGTGGCCGCCGGAGCTTCTGCACAAAAGTTAACCATGTAGCTATGATATTAATAATTAATGTTTTCAGAGAGCCAGCAGGGATGGTAAAATCCACAAACTCCACTTTATACCTTTAAAAAATCAGTTAAGGGCCTAAAGAGAATGTGAGGGGCTGAATGAGAAATATCTAATTCTCAGTTCCATTTGGAAAGCTATTGAATGGGTGAGGGGGTAGGAATTTGCTTCGAAAATAGGCTTCTCCCTATCCCCCCAAAGTACAATCTCTGCAGTGAATATTTATGGAAACATGGAGTACCTTTCTGTGGCAATTGCCACATGAATACAATATTTTTCTGTCTGGTAAGTACAGCTGCGAGTCACATCAATTAAGTGATGGTGGGAAGAGATGAGAGTAGCTGGAGTCCTATAAAATATGTCTATACAGTTTGTCAAAAACAAAGAAACAAAGCAACAAAACAAATTAAAATATATACTTATAACTAATACTGGGAGCTCCTGAATCAGAAACAAATGTATAAAGAGTGGTTGTCTTTTGTTATGTGCTATAGGAG